CTCGTCCAATATGGAGTCCTATTACATATACTAATACAGTTTAATTTGGATTTCGTTCTAATATCAGGGCCCTCGATTGCACGAGCTAAATAATCTACTAGCGTCTACATGTTTGTCTTCGCGCAAACGGCTTGCTCACGTTTTCATTTTTCAAAACTTCTTACCAAAGATAATTTTYAAATTCTCTACTATTTTCTCGATTCTTTTTCACTAATTCTGAAAATTGTTTTATTTTTCATCTGACGTTTCACGATGCTCTAAGATGCTCAAAATCTCTTTTCACTAATTGCTATATGTTCTGTCTCTTTTAATGTTTATTTTTTCTTTCTTTTATTATTTGCGTCCTTCAGATGATGAATAGCCCTGTAATGGAATAATCTATGATCTGAGCGCTTAAACCCCTTACCACAGACGACACAAACATAAGGTTTGGCACCAGTATGGACGCGGTAGTGTCTTTGATAGTCATCAGATCGACGGAACTGCTTGTTGCACCCCACCCACGAACAGGGGTAAGGTTTCTCTCCCGTATGGATTCTTTTGTGAAGAACTAGAAAGGAATAGTGGCTGTAGGACTTCTCGCAGGCCGGCCAGTCGCAAGGATATCGGCCATCGCCACTGTTTTTCTTTTCTGTCCTTGGCTCCAGAGATAGACMTTCTTTTGAACTTATTGTACTGCAACTAGCTTTGCTCCTTGGSGCTGAACACGAAGTTTGTACATCATCTTTATTGCTTGGCAACACAGTTGATGCCAAGTCTTTGATGACGGTAGTTTTTTGTCTTGAGTTTGTTTCCAATTCATTACTCCATTTGCATCCCTCGCCTTCCTTAGGAACTTGAACTGAGCATCTTTGTGTTCTGTTTTGAAAACTTTGCTCGCTTGTTGTTCGGCTATCACTGACCCCCACTAGAGGTCCTTTTAATTGGTTATTGTGCTCACTTGMCTGTGTCTTCTGGCAGCACGCATCCTGCCTATCCATACAAGCATATCTTCGATCGTTCTTTAAAAGAGGCTGGTAATTCTCTGAACAGTTTTCTTTTGGGATATTGAACAATCTTGCAGTACATCTTTCTCTCTGTGTCGTTTGATCACAGAACTTCATGAAATTTAAGTTTCGTTTGGCTGCCTTTGCATGGCTGGAGAAGCTATTGTCTGGTACTTCGTGTCTTGGAATTTGAATGAATTCATTCAAGTGAGTCGCTTCAAATTCYAAAATATTATTATTTTCATCTTGGGAACCGATGATATATCTTTCTCCTTCACAGAGTTGTTCCTTTCTGCAATGATGATGATGATGTTTTGTGTATTGATGAAAACCGGTTTCAGAGTCCAACTTATCGCTAGGAATGCAGTTTGCTCTTTTCCAAGCTTCCCAATGATGCTCGTTTGTTATTAAAGCTGAAGTGTGATTGCACGTCTCAGGTGTGTAATTCTCAAAGCTGATCGTTTTTGAAGAGCGTTCCTTGGCTTCCAAGTAATCTTTCCTTGATTCTTCAAGAGTCTTCTCTCTATGATTTGTCTTCAGGGTGCTCAGATGTCCTTCTCGATCATGAGCAATAATCTGTCTGGTAACTTCAACATTCTGTCTCTCTGTGGCAGGAGCATTGGCAACGTTCACTCGAATCCGACCCTCGCTATCAGTTACAACCTGCAAGAAATTTGACTCCCTATTTCCGCACTGCCTTGTGCTAACCAATTCATCTTCATCGGGTATGACAATCGTCTCAGGCACATCTTGTTCAGATTTTGAGCRCTTTTCAGGTGGCAACTGTTCATTACTGACGGAGTAAGGCTTTGAGCATATTGCGTCACAATTGAGAGATTTAGATCTAGATTCTTTACAATCTGGTAGAAGGTACTCTTCAGCTGCTGACGAAGATCGCTTATCCGCGCGTTTCCCGTATCTTCTGGCAGGTTGCGGATTCTGAAACATTCCTTCAAGAAGCGGCCTTGGTTTAGAAACTGGACTGTTCAATGAACTAGCCGCACTTTGTGTCCTTAATTGAACAGTTGTCTTGTCCATGAATTCATTCTTTTGTCTGTCTGCTAAGTTATTGTTCGGGGGTAGTTTAAGRCTTTCAAATTTCCTTAGATCACTCTTGGCGCAATTGTTCTCACATGCAGGGACTTGATAACTATTGCTTTCACTACCTTGTGCAAAATAGACTCTCGATAAAGATATATTAGGTTCAAAGACCTCGAGTGTTTGTGGTGGAGTCCACATAATAATACTTCTGTCTCTAAATTTTGTCAAGTTTTTTCTTGGCCCCAAGCTATGTTCAAGTATTCCCTTTCTTTCTACTGCATTTTCAAAAGCTGKCTCCCTCGATGTAGATGCTAGTCTTTCCTGTCTTGAATCCTCCGCAAGTCTTACACTCTCTGCGTTCTTAACAGCCTGCACACTMTTTCTCGACTCGATCAGTCTGGAATAAATATTATCATCCAACCCAATTCGACTGCAACATTCAGGTGCGTAAGAAATCATTTCAGGAAACGTCTGTGGGTTGTGAACTTCACAAGTTTTTTGTTCTTTAGTTATTTGAGAAATTTCTCTTTCCATCTTGATGACTGACTGTGTAAAATACAGTAGTTGATCTGTTTCTTGYCGTGTACCAGGCTGGTTAACATTCTCTAGGATCTGATATGCCATGTCTAGGATCTGCAACGCTTCGTCGAATTCAAGCTGACTCAAATAATGTGCGCTACAGGATAAAAATAATTATAGTAAAGGTTTGACGATAATGGTTTGACTATCCTAGTTCAGATATGAAACTGGATGATTGTAATGCGATGCAATCTAGTCAAACGACCTCCCAATGAAGATGGAGGACGTTCAAGTTCAGGTTCTTCTTGCAATATGAAAAGTCACRCGAAGTAGCAGTCTACGAATGAATTAACTGTGCGGAAGGCGGAAGATTATATTCTTCCTGGGCTTGAGTCGTGGAAAGACTTCGACTAACTGATCTAGTTGCTTAGAATACTAGCAAAGTGCAGTATTGTTGATGTACCATTGATCCGCTAGGACTTGAAATTTGGAAAACTTTTAGAGCTGAAACCAACCAACTAGCGGCCAACTGCCTGACTGACTCCGAAGCCGGTGATGGCTGACTGAGCAACGATTGAAAAGCACAGTGGCTTTAGGTATGAGGTTTGGAATGACGGACAGATGAGGCGTAGAGTTATCGCCCAGTAGAAATTAAACAAAAGAATGATGATGCATAGCCTGAAGGTAACAYCAATATAGTACATGAGTGTGATATGAGTAGAGAACCGAATCAAAGCGCGCTCACTGGTTCCTGGAGAGTTTTCAAAGCCAGAAAGCAATTTCTATTCACTATTAGAAAATACTGAAGATGATCAAAGACATTATCTGATAAAGTAGTTTCATCAGTTATGTATCGTTAAGAGATGACAATGAGCTGGGTTTTCTTTCCTTTTTTGATTGACAATTATGGGCGTATCGCAAGTAAGATTGATTAGCTCTGTACTTGTTGGGTATTTATTTATGCCTAAGCAGCAAGGACTGAAATAAATACCAACATGAAAGCATTATAGTACGTTGATCTGATAACAGTCTCGTTATGTCAGAAGAAACCTATTCAAAATGTTTCACTAAGCTGGGTTCGATCTGTGAGTTAGCCAAGCACTGACTTTGATCAGCCCAAAGGTTGTTTTCTTATACCCCATTCACACCTAAACGTGTTTAGTTAAACTGTGTTTCATGAGGAAAAAAAAAAGAGAAACTAGAGACCTACAATATAATGAAACTTTCTAAAATATTGTCAGAGCAAGACAAAGGATAGTTTACATGCATTATTTTACCGAATATTGTGCAGTGTTCGTAGATAGTTTTTCAAACCTGTTTAGTTAAACCACTTTTAAACATGTTTAAGCTTTGGTRTGAATGGGATATTAGACTTTAGACTTTTATTTATTCACACACTTATTTACAATATTCAAATATGAAGCGATGAAACGTCGTGAATTACTGCCTGTATCGTTTCTTATATTATTAATCTATTATTATTATTATTATTATTATTATTATTATCATCATCATCATTTGCTCTTAAACTATCCATTATTTGCGTCCGCACGGTCGAAGTAAAATCACTTAAGTTTCTTTGGATCAGCACGGGAAGTCAGTTTGAMTATGGCCGGGTTGGTGATGATAAAACAGAAGCGGTTTTGCACGTGTTACATAGATCCTTTTTCGATACAACAAACYTCCCACGACCCCCAATTTATGCTTCAAATAGATCAACTAGTCCGATTTTATTTTAGAACTTTCTATTTTTAACAGGGGTGGATGCTATTTTAGAACTAGGTATACGAAGTGACTGTCTCTCAGCAACGCATCCACAGCTAAACCATTGGATACTTATAACTGGGAAGTTCAGRCAAATGTACTGACTATACTGACCTGCTGTCACTTCTACTACGAGGTACTATGTTTTGGTCAAGGCTTGGCTCGGGTTTTAGGGCCAAATTTGAGATGCATTGAAAACCGGCTAAAGAACATAGCTTCGGCCTGTGTTGTTATCAATATGGTAATTTAATTAATGGTAAAAAATCAACATGGATGACTTTTACTTTAAGGAGCGCTAAAATTAGGACTGAAATAACTGACCGACTGCCGGCGTCTGTGGGGAAAAAACCGTGTCTTTTTAGTCACCAGATTTTCCGATATCTTTTACACCTAATTGCAAGAATGTTGTCAAATTTGAAAAAATAATAAATAGGAATAAATAAATTTTTGAGCAAAATAGGAGTATTTATTGCACTGTTTTGACGGTATAGACTGACATATTGATATTACCTTGTTAGTATATAGCGAATCAGTTATTTTCGCCAGTCTAGGGGGCTTTAGAATCAAAATATCAAAAATCATTTCTCATTAATTCCTATTTGTTTTTTATTCTTTTTATATCAGGCARCATTCTTGCAATTTGGTGTAAAAGTGTGTATAACTGGGTGTATGGCGTATAAGTCGGCAATGATAGATATCGATATGCAAAAGGAAAAGTATGGTAAGGCTATAGTCTCTTTCTGCAGTGTTCTTCTGTCTATCTCTCTCTCTCTCTCTCTTCGTTCCTTCATGCGTTGCTTCCCTTCAGTAATTCGATATCAACCACTCAATGCATGTCATTGTCATTGCTTTGTCCTGGCTATTTAATATTCCTCTACTGTTTTCATTTCAGCTTCCACTCATCTATTTACAGTTGTCTTCAAAAGCAAAAAGAATGCTATAACTTTAAATTATGTGTTGATCTCAAAGCGGGGTATCATTTATTTTCTTTATGGCTCAAAGGATTATTATCACAAACCAGACAACCGTGAGATTCTCAGACCAAAAAAYTGACGTCATGATGAACGTTGCCATGGCAATTAAAAAGAGACCACCCGTAGCTCTCGACAGGTCTTAGCAGAATTTATGGATACAATTTGAAAGCAAACGCAAAACATTCCAAGAAAATTCTGTAATTTGAGAACAGCCAAGTGGGTACTTCGTCATGTGCATCAGACCTTTTTGATTTCAAATCTCTTTATAATTCTTGTTTTCTAATCTTATTATCTAGTTATGSCCGGCAGAAAATCAAGCTATCCGAAACATATAAAATAATTGAGAACGACTTGAGAAAAAGACTTGTTTAAAATAGCATGTGATGGTCTTCCTGTGGTGTTGGTTTAGGTGACCCAAGTTGACTAAGGCCGGATCAAGCGTTCCGTAGAACGTAAGTATTTACACAAACATACGAGTATAAATCTTTTGACATTGGTCTCTTCATCACGGGTCCTGCTTCTTCATTGCAAAAAAAAAAAAAAAAAGCAATTAAAATCATAAAAAAGCGTGAAAAATAAGCCGTCGAATTATATAAGCAAAATGGATTAATGAAAATGGGTGTGTTCCTTTAGTCAGTGCTACTACACCTGTTACGGCTACAAAACAGTTTTGACAGCGTTTCAACACTGGATTAAAATTTAGCTATCAAACATCTGCAAAAGCCGGAAATCTAATAACTGTGATAAATCATATCTCGGCATTATTTCTTCAATTTGTCAGATTTTACACGACCCTTCTGAATGYACTGTCTGCAAAACTCGCGACATAGTTTTACCATTCATGTTCTCATCGTCAGCCGCGATAAATCATAAAACACTAATTTTAATATGAAATCCAAAGGAATGTTGGCCCCAATGATTCCAAAACGTATATTTACGATAAATTTTCTGCATTGGCAAAATAATTCCATTTTATGTTATCACATGCGATCGACATTTCTCATTGTACGTATTTTCTCTCAAATGGTACTAATATATTTATCTTAGTTCATATGATATTTACTAGGCTTATTCTATGGTCGGTTAGCCTAGTAAAGACCGTAGTTATCTATTTAACCGTTCTTATTTTATTACTCTGAAATTGAATGAATTGATGTTCAAATATAAATATGCTTATTTATGTGAAGAGAACACGCTTTCGCAAGGAGAATTTTTGACATATTAAGGGTTCTCTGAAAAATCTCCAAAAATTCTCAAACATATATACAGTACAAACACACCAAGTCTGGCAAAACTGTGATTAATTATATCGGCTCCGCCCAGTGACCAATGCTTATATTTTAACTTTCTTCTCGACTGATTTCTATGATGCATGATTACTTCCTGTGAGAGATAATGATGTAGTCTATGGTGTCAGAGTTAGTTAAACACAAAAACATATTGATATTTTTATCTCTTTTTGTTACTCAAGCGTAGGACGTGGAAAATGTCGGCTTCTGAGTACTCAGCATCTACTCAAAAGTTGGCGGGAAGCTATTCCTAGTTGTAAAGGCTTGTGTCATAAAATGAGTGGTAACTTCTATTCATTTGGTTTTAATACCACAAGCAAAACCCTGTCAATGTACCAGAAATTACTAGTCAGTTTCTTGTAATCTCAATATAATATCAGTTTCCAGAAAAGATCACCTTGCTAAATTTACAAAGCTAATCGGAAATACTATCCTTATTTCACTGGTTTTTCTTTATAGTATATGGCAAACGGAATTTCAGTTACTACAATACAGGTTTATCAGGATAATCATAGTACATTATCTTTTTCGCACTATACGGCTCCTGTTTATACTTGAGTCTCCGACTCGGGAAAAAGTAAAATTTGCCTTCAGTCAATACGCCGTATTTTGCAGCAAAGGCCTAAGTAATATAATGTTATTTATTTATGAAATATATCTTTTTTATCTAGAAGTATTCATAATTTCCTTAGTGGACAAGCCAAGCTAGGAACGTTCTGGACCATAAAACAYTACTAGAAGTAATCAGTTTTAACAATTAGTTGAGTAATCAATAACTGACTGATTGTGTCATGGTTTTGTACTAGAAAAGCATCGGTGCATGAGCGCGAAACGAACCATTTTTCGCCTGTTTGAAAATCATAATAATAATGAAAGAAAAAAAGACATCAAAAATGTGTGATGTTTTTGTGGCAAATTCACGACGTTATAGCTGACGGAAATCATAGTATAGAAGGGGTGTTTAGCGTTAAAGAAAAAAACGTCAAAACATTTGCTTTTAATGTCCACAAAGGTGGTTGGTATTGAGTACCTTAYAAGCTTTATATGCAACTTACTGYACACACACACACACACAAACAAAAAATAACAGATCTCCCGCGCATTTTTCGATTCCCGCCAATAAGAATTCGTGTGGTCTTCTTTTACCACCAGTCAGCAACAGGTGATCCAAATRCAAATTATGCTCTCCAAACTGATAGGATTATGAAGCGCGCATTAAAAAGTCCTATATCACTCGGGCCATACTCAATCTTATGACTTTATATGTCGATATTTAACGAACCATACTGAATATGTAAYATATCTCCGTTTAGTGCGTAGTTTACTGTATTTATTACATATTCCTGGCGTGATACGAACTTTCTATCGCTGTTAAGAACTATATCGATCGGCTAAGAACAGCCAAGCTTTAATTCAAACCACCTAGACCAGATTTTGACATTAGGTAAGTTTTATTTAAAGCCCTGACGCACTCACTGTTCGTTCAGTATTGGTTAAAGCACTCCTCGGGAATTAAATTCTTTGTTATCTAATTTCACATGACGGCAGTTTAACTCGGTCAGTTCCTTCAAATATTTATCGTGACAGCTAATAAGCATCCTGAAAGCTGCTATAGGAAAGAGCAGGGTAAGTTTTCATGCTGCTTTCTAGAATTTTCTGTTTGGATACAAACTGAAAAAGTTTGTTAGCGTCTTTCAAGCCAACCGGGCAACGACCGGGCAAATCAGCTGTGATAAATGGCTGTCATTCTTACTCTTATTTTTCACACTCGCTAAATTAAAAAAAAACTCTGCCAAAAATTTTATCCTTACGAGAATAAGTTCGCCTGCGGTCTTGTGCATTTTAAGGTAATTTTCTGATAACTGATATATTTTTCATTTTTMATTTTAAAATGTCAGCACTGATGGGCTGTAGAAAGATGCTTTTTTTATTTCCAATTCTATTTTGCTATTGTTTTTGTTGATGCAGTTTTCTGTTGTCTTATTTCCCAAACTTACCCTCGTAAAGTAAAGACCCAATACTATATAGCAACACTAAAGATGTGARGTTTTTAAAAAGGGATAGAAAGCTAGTAAAAAATTTTCTCCGGCAATCAGCTGATTGCTAATGCCATCCATGGGGAAAATATGTTCTTTATTGTTCAATTTTAAGACAATAGTCGTTGTGGAAATTCATGAATTTCTCCGCCGAGCCTTCACAGTGTAAGACAAAAAAAAAAAGTAAGATAGCATTAAATTTCTGTTCTCTGAAAACCTTTAATTCAATTGCCTTAAACATAATTTAAGGATTATTAGAAAACAGGAATGAGTTATATGTACACAGRTACATAAATGAGTATCATTTCGCATTAGTGGCATCACTCGATATAAGAGGAGTTTCAAGATGAGCATTTATTGTTTTTATGGTTACTTAATATTTTGAGAAAAAGGCATTAAAAAATGTTCTATGGGCATTCTCATATATTTTATTGGTATTTACTCTATCCATGGGAGCTTGTCTATTGACAATTTTTCCCTGTCTTTAGTTTGGACAAAAAATGGTACGATGTTAAAGGTGAATGGTGGATGGTGAAGTGAACTCGTTCAATAACTGGTCATCGTATAAAGATCTGCAAAATGAGGCCGAATGAAGTGGCAAGAAAACATCTCTCTCGAAGAAATTCACGAGCAACGAATGGGGCAGCCAAATCGGCAACCATTAAAGTGGGAAGAGGTAGACCATCAAGTTATGTTGATAGTRTCATGCTTTTAACTAGTAGAGTTAAAACGTAGCCACGCCATCGAATATTTTTAAAACTCAAAATGGTTAGACTGAAACTTCCCGCGAAATGCCGAGCTACGACTTTTCCAACCCGGGGAATTTGATTACCACTATGGACTCAGTTCTGACCGTGAACTCAGTACAGTTCTCGGCTCAGCTAAATTGGAAAAATATTTGCAATATCCCTAGCCTCGAGGCATGTTTTTATGATGCTTTTGAATTTAAAGATTTTAACTTATTTTTTTCTAGATTCTGGCCGAGTTAAGGTTTTTGTGCGAGTTCGTCCCATGAAACCACAGGAAAATAGCAGRAAAGAAACAGTAGCAGTTGATGTCTCTGAACTACGCTCATCGGTAACTAAAACGAATTAGATATTTTTGATATTGCTTAAATTAATTATTTTATAAATTCATATTTTTTTACATTTAGCTAAAAAAGGGAATTTAGGAGGAAAGGAGATAGTAGTTATTTTTCACCTGATTTTGAGTTTTGAAGGGATAAAAGTGAATAGGAAGATCATGGACATCAGTATTGAACTATTGAATATGCTAAACAACATTAAAACGCTAATTAAATACATTTTCAGTCTTTGCCTTTAGCCAAATGAAACTACTTCTCAGATGTAATTACTGAAGTTGGTATTTAAATATTTAAGCTTATGAATGGATAAAATGCAATTTTTGGTCAAACTGGAATTCCATTTTCGAAATGTATTGTGGGTAATTTTGATATTGGTCAGCGGTATTCCACCATAAATTAATTATTTTCTTACCAAAAAAGGAGAAATTTGAAAACGTTAAGATTTTTCTGGTTAAAAATGGCACAAAAATCCACAGAAAAAGGAAGACCTAAAGTCTACATMACGAGGATCGAATCCTTTAGTTCAGCTCACCGATTACACAGCTYGAAACTAACAGACGAAGAAAACAAACGAATATTTGGCAAATGCAACAATCCACATGGGCATGGACATAACTACAAGGTTCAAATCACTGTAGCAGGGTACCTAGACGAAGATACAGGCATGGTTATGAATATTACTGATCTAAAAGGAATCATACAGGATGTTTTGGACGAACTTGATCATAAGAACTTGGATTTGGATGTGGAATATTTCAAAGATGTGGTCAGCACTGCAGAGAATATAGCAATGTTTATCTGGGATAAGCTGTCTTCAGTGTTGTCAAAGGATGTGCAATTGTATGAAGTGAAATTACATGAAACCGAGAAAAATATTGCGGTTTATCGAGGAGAAAGGGAATAATTATTGCCAGGTCTTTAACTGCTAATGAAGAGTTTTTTAAAATTCTGTTAATAAAAATAGTAAATATTTTTTATACATTTAAATCAATCTTTATATAGTACCAAAATTGCAAAATTACATAAACTAAACTAAGCTACAAGACTGATTGGTACAAGCCAGCTGTAATAGCCATAGTTTAAATGAAACAGTTGACAAATTATATGATTACATAAACATTTATTAACATATTAGATTATTGTTTCCAATGGGAAAAATAAATAGTTTTAATCATAACCCCATCAATAGATGTTTGCAGTCTTGTTTTTATATATTCATCCATTATCTCCAATGAGTGAGATAAGCATGGGAAAAGATGTATTATAGGAAACCTTTTTGTAATATTGAATGTAGATCCTAGGTGTAAAAATTGAGTGTTGGTGTCAGATATTTTTTAAGAAGTTACAGTGAAGACACTCAAACATTGAACTTTTTAGTTTTCTCAGGTTATTTCTTGAACTTTTTACTAATTCAAACCCTCTAAACGTGAGGCATTTAGTTTAAGTACACCTAGTGATCAAAGGGGAGCAAGGGATAATTTACAGCATGTTATTTAAAAAAGGTGGTTAAAACTCAGTGTTAACGGTTCAAGTGTCCTCACTGTAATTATGTACATAGAGAGTATCACATGTTAARAGTTTGATATGGTTCTTATTCACAAGTTTCCATATCATCGTGCGTAAGAGTGAGACTGCAAAGTGTGAGACATATGATATAATCAAAAATGCGTAAATAAAAAAGATAGGTAGATTAGGGTCAATACAATGACAAAACTTGCAGTTTCCAGTTTACCGTGAAGTGATATCGTATTACTTCACTGATATCATTTTTATTTACGTCTTTGTCACACTGATATAGAACCTAAATGTATAATAAAAGTATATGATATTTGATGATATTTATTCATGTCATTCCCTTCAGATCCATGTGAGTGACCCTAAACACAGCTGGGAGAAGGATTATCCATTTGATCATGTCTTCCCTTCTGACTCCACTAACCATGRGGTAAAGTCAGTCAAGAGCTACTGCCGAAACACTTACCAGAACAACTTGAACAAAATTTAAAATTTAAAAAAATTAGCCAACCAGGAGAGAGCGTCTGGTATTTATTTTATTCTTATTGTGAAGCGCCATGAATTTTGATATGTGCACTATATAAGTTCCATTATTATTATTATTATTATTATTATAATTAATATCATATTGACCTCAGCCAATCACACTCTTTCATTTGTTTTCACTCTGTGTTGTGATTGGCTAACTTACTTGAAATGGTGCTGGTTGGTGTGTCTCCTATGATGTTTTTCAAAGTTTTTCACCCAATATGGTTGCCATGTTATTTGTTCATTGTTTTAGAAAGTTTTGAATATTTTATTTTATACTATTGTTTCAGAATTTAGCATCCTTCATTGGAATCTCTCCCCCCCCCCACCTTAGAACTAAAGTGGTTTTCTTTCGATGAAGAAATAATGTACCAGATGTCAGTATATATATATATATATATATTTACAAATTTTAAAAAGTTTTTAAAGTTTCCTTTGTATTCACTCGCTGTATTCAACACAACAAGGCTGTAATTATCAATTATCAGTGATAAGAATTTATCAATTCATGGAAAATATGTTGGGTTACTGGGGTTTTCGACATTCTGAGAATGTCAACATTTCATTGGCTTGTTGTGAAATTAGTTTTTCACTWCCACCAGTCAAKAAAATAAAAGGTACTGATTATTTYTGATTGACRGCAGCGAAAAATCAAATTTCAGCATGAAGMTTGCAACTACCRAGTTTTCAGAATATYRAAAACTGCAGTAATAATRATTTRTAACTTTATTTCAAGGTTTGTAACACATTATGTAAGCCTATCGTCAATGCTGCTCTCAATGGYTTTAATGGTACACTCATGGCCTATGGTCAGACTGGTTCAGGTAATACAAACCACCTCATTACTAGTTAGTACAATACAGAAACATTATTCCATTAAAAATGGCAATAAATTAACAATTGTGTCCTTCAGTGACATTGGAAATTGGAGTTTGGAGTGTGCCCTGACTCAGCCCAGTACAGGTTCAATCTGTGAGTTAGCCGTGTCCTGACTTTGATCAGCCCAGAGGTTGTTTCAGGGCTCAATCTATGAGTTAGCTGTGCCCTGATTTTGTTCAGTACAGAATTTGTTTCAGGGTTGGATAAAATTTGAGAAGGGAGAAAAGGATGAAAAATGGAAAATGGGAAAAAAGGTAGAATGATGTAAGAATGAGAGAGAATATTTTATGGTCGGTAGGGATAACGGGAGATGAGGGAGGAAGGAGGTAATGAGACAGTTGAAAAACAGATGTTACTTGAACAATCCTTCAATGATATGCCATACCTTTTATTCCATGTAGGTAAAACATACACGCTGATGGGACTAGATGGAATCACATCTGGCGTGGTAGATAGATGCTTCAAACGAATCATGCAAGACACAAAACATGACTACAAAGTAAGGAGTATAATACTCACCAAGAAGTCTTTGTGTCAATTTTACAGATTTTATGAGAAAGTATGGTGCAGGAGATGGGGAGGGTATATTATGTAGTTTAAGTAAACATTCATACCTCCACCATGGAGGGAGATTAGAGGGTATATTATGTAGTTCCAAAAAATATCCATACCTTCCAATGGAGAAAGGATTAGATTTTCCAAGGGATGGGAAGGGTCTGAGTAAAGTATATCTTGTAGTTCCAAAAATTATCCATTTCTCCCCCATGGAAGGGAATTGGAACTTCCAAGGGATGGGGAGGGTCTGAGGAGGGTATATTATCTAGTACAAAATTTAACCATACCTTTTGTGTTCTTTCATCCCCAGGTATCAATGTCATATCTTCAAATTTACCAAGAGAAAATCTATGATCTTCTGAATTCTACAAACAAAGTTGAACTTAACATCAGAGAACATCCCCAAAAAGGTATGCAATCCACCTTTGTTCCCTTTCTGAAAGTGTTCTCTGAGTTTTTAGCCCCCACCCCATCCCTCTCGATCCAAAATTAAAAAATAAAAAATAAAATAACTAATAAATGGGATTTAGCAGTGGTATTTCTACAGAGTAGCTATTCATCCACTGTCATTCTAATTGGAATTAAGGAGTTGATTTTTGCGGAGGGAGGAAAGCTGGGGAACCCGGAAAACCCTCTAAGCACAGGAGAGAACCAACAAACAACTCTACTCACATACGACACCAAGCTCAGTGGGACTCGAACCCAGGTTGCATTGGTGATAGGCGAGCACTCTCACCGCTACGCCACCTGTACTTCCCAAAATTTGCTGTGCTTTCCCTGTAGAGGCGTTTCATGCATGTCTTTTCTAAGAAAGGTTTTTATAAAGTGCTGCTGTTGGAAGAGAACTTTTTACCTTAGCTGTAGTGTTTTCCTGTTTTGGACCATGTGTAATTCTCTTGAGAATAAGAACAATTGTGTGAGTTGTATCCATAGTCATGTGTCTTCTCATGTTCAACCGTTAAACAAAGAAATGATACTCAAGAGAATGAGAAATGGTCTAAAAAAAATTTGCCCAAGATAAAGAGATCTTATAGCTAGTGTTTCACATGTTTTGTGTTTATCATAACACAGGAGTTTATGTAGAGAATTTGTCCGAGTTTGTAGTAMGAAGTCCAACGGAAATAATGAATTTATTGGCTGTTGGCAAGAAGAGATTGGTGTTTGCAGAAACCAAAATGAACAGAACTTCGAGCAGGTACATTTGCGTAGAAAGAATATGCATGTAATTATTGCAGATATAGATATATTGCCTTGTTTAATGTGTGATGCAAGATTATGTTTGCGCTAGGCATAGTTCTCGAATTTTGTGGAAATTGGATCATTTGTGCACTAAATGACTCAAAGTTTTTGATGTTTCACGCCAGTTTGTAATGTTCCGCACTTTGGCCAAATATATAAAAAATATATATTTGTATTCCAGTAATGATGAAAAGGTAAATTATACACCGTGAAAAGATGAAAAAGTTTTTTCATCTTTTCACGGTGTATAATTTACCTTTTCATCATTACTGTTTCATTAGAAACACCGACGCAGCTCACACTAGTTTTTAGCTAGT